GATTTTTTATCCCCCATGTATTATACATGGAGATCATATCCCCCTTATGTGATTATACATGGAGATCATATCCCCCCTTATACCACCTATTATACATGGGAGATCATATCCCCCCTTATGTATTATACATGGAGATCATATCCCCCCCTTATGTATTATACATGGAGATCATATCCCCCCTTATGTATTATACATGGAGATCATATCCCCCCTTATGTATTATACATGGAGATCATATCCCCCCTTATGTATTATACATGGAGATCATATCCCCCCCTTATGTATTATACATGGAGATCATATCCCCCCTTATGTATTATACATGGAGATCATATCCCCCCTTATGTATTATACATGGAGATCATATCCCCCCTTATGTATTATACATGGGAGATCATATCCCCCCTTATGTATTATACATGGGAGATCATGGAGATCATATCCCCCCCTTATGTATTATACATGGAGATCATATCCCCCCTTATGTATTATACATGGAGATCATATCCCCCCTTATGTATTATACATGGAGATCATATCCCCCCCCTTATGTATTATTATACATGGAGATCATATCCCCCCTTATGTATTATACATGGAGATCATATCCCCCCTTATGTATTATACATGGAGATCATATCCCCCCCTTATGTATTATACATGGAGATCATATCCCCCCTTATGTATTATACATGGAGATCATATCCCCCCCCTTATGTATTATACATGGAGATCATATCCCCCCTTATGTATTATACATGGAGATCATATCCCCCCCTTATGTATTATACATGGAGATCATATCCCCCCTTATGTATTATACATGGAGATCATATCCCCCCTTATGTATTATACATGGAGATCATATCCCCCCTTATGTATTATACATGGAGATCATATCCCCCCCTTATGTATTATACATGGAGATCATATCCCCCCTTATGTATTATACATGGAGATCATATCCCCCCTTATGTATTATACATGGAGATCATATCCCCCCCTTATGTATTATACATGGAGATCATATCCCCCCTTATGTATTATACATGGAGATCATATCCCCCCCTTATGTATTATACATGGAGATCATATCCCCCCCCTTATGTATTATACATGGAGATCATATCCCCCCCTTATGTATTATACATGGAGATCATATCCCCCCCTTATGTATTATACATGGAGATCATATCCCCCCTTATGTATTATACATGGAGATCATATCCCCCCTTATGTATTATACATGGAGATCATATCCCCCCTTATGTATTATACATGGAGATCATATCCCCCCTTATGTATTATACATGGAGATCATATCCCCCCCTTATGTATTATACATGGAGATCATACCCCCCCCTTATGTATTATACATGGAGATCATATCCCCCCCCCCTTATGTATTATACATGGAGATCATATCCCCCCTTATGTATTATACATGGAGATCATATCCCCCCCCTTATGTATTATACATGGAGATCATATCCCCCCTTATGTATTATACATTTGATCATATCCCCCCTTATGTATTATACATGGAGATCATATCCCCCCTTATGTATTATACATGGAGATCATATCCCCCCTTATGTATTATACATGGAGATCATATCCCCCCTTATGTATTATACATGGAGATCATATCCCCCCCTTATGTATTATACATGGAGATCATATCCCCCCCTTATGTATTATACATGGAGATCATATCCCCCCCCTTATGTATTATACATGGAGATCATATCCCCCCCCTTATGTATTATACATGGAGATCATATCCCCCCCCTTATGTATTATACATGGAGATCATATCCCCCCCCTTATGTATTATACATGGAGATCATATCCCCCCTTATTATGTATTATACATGGAGATCATATCCCCCCTTATGTATTATACATGGAGATCATATCCCCCCCCTTATGTATTATACATGGAGATCATATCCCCCCCTTATGTATTATACATGGAGATCATATCCCCCCCTTATGTATTATACATGGAGATCATATCCCCCCCTTATGTATTATACATGGGTGATCATATCCCCCTTATGTATTATACATGGAGATCATATCCCCCCCCTTATGTATTATACATGGAGATCATATCCCCCCTTATGTATTATACTGGATTCCCCCATACCCCCTTATGTATTATATACATGGGATATCATATCCCTTTTCTATGTATTATACATGGAGATCATAGACCCCCCTTATGTATTAAGCCATGTGGGGGATGATCATATCCCCACTTATGTATTAACTGGAGATATATAACGAGATCATATCCCCCCTTATGTATTATCCACCACATGGAGACCAGATATCCCCCCCTATCCAATTTATCCCCCACATCCACCCCAGATCATATCAATCCCCAAGTGTATTATCCAAGTGGAGATCATATCCCCCTTATGTATTACCACATGGTCCCCGTTCCAAGATACCCCTGATCAACCCCCCTTATGTCCACATGTGAGATCCATATCCCCCCACCTTATGTATTAAACATGTTAGATCAGTATCCCCCTATGTATTATACATGGAGATCATATCCACCCTTATGTGTATACGTCATGGAGATCCATATCCCCCCAGTGACCTGTATTATACATGGAGATCATCCCCCCCCCCCCATGTAGTTATACAGTATCCCCCCACATGGACACTGATCCATCCCCCTTATGTCCAATTATACATGGAGTCAAATCATCCTCCCCCCTTATGTATTATACCATGGAGATCCACCCGCCATCCCCCTTATGTATTATACATGGAGATCATATCCCCCCCACCTATATCACTGTATTATACCACCTATCACCGCCCCCCCCTGTATGTACCACGTCCACCGCCACCCCTCTGGAGATACCACGTCCCCCCTTAGCCCCCCTGTCCAAGTATACATGGAGATCATACCCCCCCCTTATGTCCAATTATACCACGATCCACCCCCCCCACCACCCTCTGTCCAAGTATACCCTGTCCACCCAACCCCCCCCCCCTGTATGTATTATACCAATCCACCGACCACCCCCTGTCCAATGTAAGTAAACCATTATGGTGGATCATACCGCCAAACCCTTCTGTCCCAAGTATACCACGTCCAGCCATCCCCCCTGTCCAAGTATTATACACGTCCATGGCCACCCCCCTGTCCAAGTATATACATGGAGAACATGGGCCACCCCCCCACTGTATTATACACCACGATCCACCGCCACCCCTCTGTAATAAGTGTATACCTTCAGCCGCCACCCCCCCTGTAAGTGTATCCATTTGAGTCATATCCCCGCCACCACCCCTTGTCCAAGTATACCACGATCCCCCCGCCACCAAACATCCAAGTATTATACCATAGATCCACACGCCACCCCTCTGTCCAAGTATGGACCCACGCCCCCCCTCTGTCCATTGGGATCTTGCAGGTATAATTCCATTCCACCCACCCTTCTGTCCCAAGTATACCAACGTCCACTAAATGCCTTCCACCCTCGTCCAAGTATAAACCACATCCACCGCCACCCCTCTGTCCATGTTTATACCACGTCCACCAGCCACCCCCAACTTACCCAATTGTACCACATGGTCCACCAACACCCACCCCTCTGGTCCAAGTATACCACGTCCACTCCACCCTTTCCCCACGTCCCAGCCCCCCTGTCCAAGTAATACCCACGTCCACACAGCCACCCCTCTGTCCAAGTATAGGAACACGTCCCCACCGCCACCCCTACTGTCCAAGTATACCACGTCCACCGCCACCCCTCTGTCCAAGTATACCACGTCCACCCGCCACCCCTCTGTCCAAGTAATACCACGTCCACCGCCACCCCTCTGTCCAAGTATACCACGCCACCGCCACCCCCCTGTCCAAGTATACCACGTCCACCGCCACCCCTCTGTCCAAGTATACCACGTCCACAGCCACCCCTCTGTCCAAGTATACCACGTCCACCGCCACCCCTCTGTCCAAGTATACCACGTCACTCACCGCCACCCCCTCTGTCCAAGTATACCACGTCCACAGCCACCGCCCTCTGTCCAAGTATACCACGTCCACCGCCACCCCTCTGTCCAAGTGTACCACGTCCCACCGCCACCCCTCTGTCCAAGTATACCACCCACGTCCAACCCCACCCCCCTGTCCAAGTAACCACGTATTAACCAGTACCACCCCCCCCCTCTGTCCAAGTATACCACGTCCACGCCACCCCCTGTCCAAGTATACCACTCCCCCACCCCCCCCCCTGTCCAAGTGTACCACGTCCACCACCACCCCCCCCTGTGTCCAAGTGTACCACGTCCACCGCCAAACACCCCCTCTGTCCAAGTATAACCATGTCCCACCACCACCCCCCCTGTCCAAGTATACCACGTCCCACCGCCACCCACCCTGTCCAAGTATATACCACGTCCACCGCCACCCCTCTGTCCAAGTATATACCACGTCCACCGCCACCCCTCTGTCCAAGTATACCACGTCCACCCGCCACCCCCCTGTCCAAGTATACCACGTCCACCGCCACCCCTCTGTCCAAGTATACCACGTCCACCGCCACCACCCCCTCTGTCCAAGTATACCACGTCCACCGCCACCCCTCTGTCCAAGTGTACCACGTCCACCGCCCCCCTCTGTCCAAGTATACCACGTCCACACCCACCGCCACCCTCTGTCCAAGTGTACCACGTCCACGCCACCCCCCTGTCCAAGTAAATACCACGTCCACCGCCCCCCCCCTGTCCAAGTATACCACGTCCACCGCCACCCCTCTGTCCAAGTATAACATGTCCACACCACCACCCCTCTGTCCAAGTATACCACGTCCCCGCCACTCCCCCCCTCTGTCCAAGTATACCACGTCCACCGCCACCCCCCTCTGTCCAAGTATACCACGTCCACCGCCACCCCCTCTGTCCAAGTATAACCCACGTCCACCGCCACCACCCCCTGTCCAAGTATACCACGTCCACCGCCACCCCTCTGTCCAAGTATACCACGTCCACAGCCACCCCTCTGTCCAAGTATACCACGTCCACCGCCACCCCTCTGTCCAAGTGTACCACGTCCACCGCCACCCCTCTGTCCAAGTATACCACGTCCACCGCCACCCCCCTGTCCAAGTATACCACGTCCACCGCCACCCCCCCTGTCCAAGTATACCACGTCCACCGCCACCCCTCTGTCCAAGTGTACCACGTCCACAGCCACCCACCTGTCCAAGTATACCACGTCCACAGCCACCCCTCTGTCCAAGTATACCACGTCCACAGCCACCACCCTCTGTCCAAGTATACCACGTCCACCGCCACCCCTCTGTCCAAGTATACCACGTCCACCAGCCACCCCTCTGTCCAAGTATACCACGTCCACCAGCCACCCCTCTGTCCAAGTATACCACGTCCACCGCCACCAACACCCTCTGTCCAAGTGTACCACGTCCACCCCTCTGTCCAAGTGTACCACGTCCACCGCCACACCCCTCTGTCCAAGTATACCACGTCCACCGCCGCCACCCCTCTGTCCAAGTATACCACGTCCACCGCCACCCCTCTGTCCAAGTATACCACGTCCACCGCCACCCCTCTGTCCAAATACCACGTCCACAGCCACCCCTCTGTCCAAGTGTACCACGTCCACCAGGCGTGGCTGCACAGGGGAGGGGTATGAGGACAGCAAGTAGGTGTGGTCTCCCCTCACATCCTGTACACCTATGAGTTATATAACTGATATTATCCATGAATCCACCTTCCTGATAGGTTGTGCCATGACACCATCCTCATACTTCTGCTCCTGGTGGTCACCCACCTCAGAGTGAAATTCCCGCCCCTTACTAAGCATCACTTCCGGGTCACAGAGCCACACACGTGTCAGTGGGCGGGGACATGGTCACGGGAGAGCGTCAGCAACTTCACTAATCTGAACCTCGCCACATTTCTCTACTGAGACCACGCCCACCGCGTGGCCATTTAATGCTCCGTCCCCAAACGTCCCGCCCCTCAGTATAAAAGGCCCCGCCTCTCCTAATGTTGAATCCCCGGCAGGCTTGTGCGCCGGCCCCGCCCCTTCCGGTCCTGGTTGCTGTGGAGACGGTTGAGGAGTCCTGGGAGCGGAGATGACGGGCGGAGCGGGGTGAGTGTCCGATCTCCTCGTAGTGAGGGGAGTCATGTGACCCCCGGGAAGGGGGCGGGGTCCTGACACAGGGGGGAGGGGGCGAACATTAACCCTTCCAGTCCGGCATCCCTCCCCGTCATGGAGAGACGACTGTGACCCCCCCACGTGATATACCCGGCAGGACGGAGGGGGCGCTGTGTGCGGCATAGACTGCAGACCCCCGAGGGGCCCCATCCCTTCACCACACCCCCTGGGGCTCCCCGAAGGCTCCCGTCCCTTCACCACACCCCCTGGGGCCCCCCGAAGGCTCCCGTCCCTTCACACCCCCTGGGGCCCCCCAAAGGGTCCCATCCCTTCACCACACCCCCCAAGGGTCCCATCCCTTCACACCCCCTGGGGCCCCCCGAAGGCACCCATCCCTTCACCACACCCCCCAAAGGGTCCCATCCCTTCACCACACCCCCTGGGGCCCCCCCAAAGGGTCCCATCCCTTCACCACACCCCCCTGGGGCCCCATCCCTTCACCACACCCCCCTGGGGCCCCCCAAGGGTCCCATCCCTTCACCACACCCCCCAAAGGGTCCCATCCCTTCACACCCCCTTGGGGCTCCCCGAAGGGCCCCATCCCTTCACCACACCCCCTGGGGCCCCCCGAAGGCTCCCATCCCTTCACCACACCCCCTGGGGCCCCATCCCTTCACCACACCCCCCTGGGGCCCCATCCCTTCACCACACCCCCCTGGGGCCCCATCCCTTCACCACACCCCCCTGGGGCCCCCCAAGGGTCCCATCCCTTCACCACACCCCCCAAAGGGTCCCATCCCTTCACACCCCCTGGCGCCCCCCAAAGGGTCCCATTCCTTCACCACACCCCCTTGGGGCTCCCCGAAGGGTCCCATCCCTTCACCAGACCCCCTGGGGCCCCCAAGGGTCCCATCCCTTCACCACCCCCCTGGGGCCCCCCGAAGGCTCCCATCCCTTCAGCACACCCCCTGGGGCCCCCCATACGGCGACCCCTCCTCTCTACGGCGACCCTTCTTCTGCGGCGTTTCCTCCTCTACAGCGGCGACTCCTCTTGCGACCCTTCTACCGCGACCCCTCCTCTACGCGAGACCCTTCCTCTACGGCGACCCCTCCTCTACGGAGACCCTTCCTCTACGGCGACCCCTTCCTCTACGGAGACCCTTCCTCTACGGAGACCCCTTCCTCTACGGCGACCCCTTCCTCTACGGAGACCCTTCCTCTACGGAGACCCCTTCCTCTACGGAGACCCCTTCCTCTACGGAGACCCCTTCCTCTACGGAGACCCCTTCCTCTACCGCGATCCCTCCTCTACGGAGACCCCTTCCTCTACGGAGACCCCTTCCTCTACGGAGACCCTTCCTCTACGGAGACCCCTTCCTCTACGGAGACCCTTCCTCTACGGAGACCCCTTCCTCTACGGCGACCCTTCCTCTACGGCGACCCTTCCTCTACGGCGACCCTTCCTCTACGGAGACCCCTCCTCTACGGAGACCCCTTCCTCTACGGAGACCCCTTCCTCTACGGCGACCCCTTCCTCTACCGCGATCCCCCTCCTCTACGGAGACCCCTTCCTCTACGGAGACCCCTTCCTCTACGGAGACCCCTTCCTCTACGGCGACCCTTCCTCTACGGAGACCCTTCTTCTACGGCGACCCCTTCCTCTACGGAGACCCCTTCCTCTACGGAGACCCTTCTTCTACGGCGATCTTTCCTCTACGGAGACCCTTCCTCTACGGCGACCCTTCCTCTACGGAGACCCCTTCCTCTACGGGAGACCCTTCCTCTACGGCGACCCCTTCCTCTACGGCGACCCCTTCCTCTACGGAGACCCCTTCCTCTACGGAGACCCCTTCCTCTACGGAGACCCCTTCCTCTACCGCGATCCCTCCTCTACGGAGACCCCTTCCTCTACGGAGACCCCTTCCTCTACGGAGACCCCTTCCTCTACGGAGACCCCTTCCTCTACGGCGACCCTTCCTCTACGGAGACCCCCCTTCCTCTACGGAGACCCTTCTCTTCTACGGCGACCCTTCCTCTACGGAGACCCCTTCCTCTACGGAGACCCCTTCCTCTACGGAGACCCTTCTTCTACGGCGATCTTTCCTCTACGGAGACCCCTTCCTCTACGGCGACCCTTCCTCTACGGAGACCCTTCCTCTACGGAGACCCTTCCTCTACGGAGACCCCTTCCTCTACGGCGACCCCTTCCTCTACGGCGACCCCTTCCTCTACGGCGACCCTTCCTCTACGACGACCCTTCCTCTACGGCGACCCCTTCCTCTACGGAGACCCCTTCCTCTACGGCGACCCTTCCTCTACGGAGACCCCTTCCTCTACGGAGACCCTTCCTCTACGGAGACCCTTCCTCTACGGCGACCCCTTCCTCTACGGCGACCCCTTCCTCTACGGAGACCCCTTCCTCTACGGAGACCCCCTCCTCTACGGAGACCCTTCCTCTACGGAGACCCCTTCCTCTACGGAGACCCCTTCCTCTACGGGAGACCCCTTCCTCTACGGAGACCCCTTCCTCTACGGCGACCCCTTCCTCTACGGAGACCCCCTTCCTCTACGGAGACCCTTCCTCTACGGTGTACCCCCCACCATTCCCATTACCCTCCATACACACACAGGCAGATCTACCCCGACAATGGGACTCTGGTCTCTGTGGGGGTCGTCAGTGTACCCCGTGTTTCCATGCCCCTCCCCCCAGTGGGCGTATCAGGGGTATATTATGAGGACAGGTCTGTGTGACACAACTGACAGAGTTTGTACTTTGATGGATTATAACCAATGAATGCTTTGTGTCCTTCCAGATGAACAATGAGATGGATCGCTCTGCACCACAGGCCCCGCCCCTCTTATCTCTCCTCCAATAGACATGTCACACCCTGCTGACATCAAATGTAAGGACAGTCTATAATTGTACTGCATGGCTCCTCCCACTTCAGTATCATTTTCTTTTTTCCCTGTCACATGACTTCTTCCAGTGTGCTGACTTGTCCCATACCTTCTGCCGTGTGAGCCCTCCTACCGCCATGCGACCCCCACCTACCGCCATGCGACCCCCCCTACCGCCATGCGACCCCCCCCCCCTCCTACCGCCATGCGACCACCCCCCCCCCACCGCCATGCGACCCCCCCCCCCCCACCGCCATGCGACCCCCCCCCTCCCACCGCCATGCGACCCCCCCCCTCCCACCGCCATGCGACCCCCCCCCTCCCACCGCCATGCGACCCCCCCCCTCCCACCGCCATGCGACCCCCCCCCTCCCACCGCCATGCGACCCCCACCTACCGCCGCCATGCGAATCCCTCCTACCGCCATGCGACCCCCACCTACCGCCATGCGACCCCCACCTACCGCCATGCGACCCCCTCCCACCGCCATGCGACCCCCCCACCGCCATGCATCCCCCTCCTACCGCCATGCGACCCCCCCCCCCCACCGCCATGCGACCCCCCCCTCCTACCGCCATGCGACCCCCCCCACCGCCATGCATCCCCCTCCTACCGCCATGCGATGCGACCCCCCCCCCCACCGCCATGCGACCCCCCCCCCCACCGCCATGCGACCCCCTCCTACCGCCATGCGACCCCCCCCACCGCCATGCATCCCCCTCCTACCGCCATGCGACCCCCCCCCACCGCCATGCGACCCCCTCCTACCGCCATGCGACCCCCCCTCCTACCGCCATGCGACCCCCACCTACCGCCATGCGACCCCCTCCTACCGCCATGCGACCCCCCCCCCTCCTACCGCCATGCGACCCCCCCCCCCCCACCGCCATGCGACCCCCCCCCCCCCACCGCCATGCGACCCCCTCCCACCGCCATGCGACCCCCTCCCACCGCCATGCGACCCCCACCTACCGCCATGCGACCCCCCCCCCTCTCACCGCCATGCGACCCCCCCCTCCCACCGCCATGCAACCCCCCCTCCCACCGCCATGCGACCCCTCCCACCGCCATGCGACCCCCTCCCACCGCCATGCGACCCCACCTACCGCCATGCGACCCCCTCCCACCGCCATGCGACCCCCTCCCACCGCCATGCGACCCCACCTACCGCCATGCAACCCCCCCTCCCACCCGCCATGCGACCCCCTCCCACCGCCATGCGACCCCCACCTACCGCCATGCGACCCCACCTACCGCCATGCAACCCCCCCTCCCACCGCCATGCGACCCCCTCCCACCGCCATGCGAACCCCTCCTACCGCCATGCGACCCCACCTACCGCCATGCAACCCCCCCCCCCCCTCCTACCGTCATGCGACCCCACCTACCGCCATGCAACCCTCTCCTATCGCCATGCGACCCCCTTCCACCGCCATGCGACCCCACCTACCGCCATGCAACCCCCCCTCCCACCGCCATGCGACCCCCTCCCACCGCCATGCGACCCCACCTACCGCCATGTGACCCCCCCTCCCACCGCCATGCGACCCCCTCCCACCGCCATGCGACCCCACCTACCGCCATGCAACCCCCTCCCACCGCCATGCGACCCCCCCCCCACCGCCATGCGACCCCCTCCCACCGCCATGCGACCCCCTCCCACCGCCATGCGACCCCACCTACCGCCATGCAACCCCCCCCCCCCTCCTACCGCCATGCGACCCCACCTACCGCCATGCAACCCCCTCCTATCACCATGCGACCCCCTTCCACCGCCATGCGACCCCACCTACCGCCATGCAACCCCCCCCCCCTCCTACCGCCCGCCATGCGCCCCCACCTACCGCCATGCAACCCCCTCCTACCGCCATGCGAACCCCTCCTACCGCCATGCGAACCCCTCCTACCGCCATGCGAACCCCTCCTACCGCCATGCGACCCCACCTACCGCTATGCAACCCCCCCCCCTCCTATCGCCATGCGACCCCCTCCTATCGCCATGCAACCCCCTCCTATCGCCATGCGACCCCTCCCACCATGCAACCCCTCCTACCGCCATGCGATTTCTACCACCATGCAACCCCCTCCTACCACCATGTGACTTACCGCTATGCGACCGCTTCCTACCACCATGCGACCCCTCCTACCACCATGCGACCCCTCCTACCACCATGCGACCCCTCCTACCACCATGTCACATTTTCTGTTCCTTTCATGTGACTGCATCCACTGTGCTGACTTGTTCTATATCAGTGGACTCCTCCCACTATCATGTGACTCCTAGCTGGCTTGGTCTATATCAGTGAACTCCTCCCACTATCATGTGACTCCTCCTACTATCATGCAAATACCGCCTCTGTGCTGACTTGTTCCATTCAGTTGGGCTCCTCCCACAATCATGTGACTCCCCCACTGTGTCTCTTGCTCTCCTGATTGCGCCCACTGTGCTGACGCACCATGTCATGTGATTCCTCCCTCTGTCCCGCCTCTGCCATGTAATCTCCTCCCATTGCTGTCCCATCCTTTTATCTCAAATCATTGTTGTCACTTCTTCTCTCAGGGTCTGGACCTCCTCCATGTTCTCCAGTTTTGTTGCAGAGGGCGGAGTCTCAGTATGATGTCATCGATGCAGCCCTACCCCCACCAGCAGGGGCCACCCAGGCCCTCCTCGAGGGCATGTACACAGAGTTGTCACGCAGACATGGTGGTTGTCAGCAGCTGGTTCTCCTGACCCGCCAGCGCCATCTTCTGACCCTGACCCGCCAGTTTGTTGTCCATCAGATGAACCTCATGAATTACATGAATAGCATGTGTGAGCTGTCACAGCAGAGTCCCCCGATACCGGCCCTCCTGTCTGCCATGTGCCTGAGGCTGCGTGACGTCACCTCTCACAGCGTGTTACTGCACAGAAGACTTCGGGATGACCCCTGCCTGTACCCCATCCCCTCCCCCTCCATGCAGGACACTATCAGGAATATACCCAGTGTCCTGCTCCTCATGGTGGTTAAAGCCACCCTCCTCACAGAGCAGTTTATCCTCCGTGTGCTGCGCAGGGTGGCACAAGTCCCAGCTGAGGTGACTCCAGACCTGTGCCGGTCTCTGACATTGTACAACCAGGTGGTGGACGACTTATCCAAGCGAGCACGACCATTGGCAGAACTGCGGCCATTTTGTCTGAGCCGGACATTGGAGATATTGGCAGAAGGGAGAAGCCGAGTGATGGCGGTGGAGTTGTGTCGGATGTGGTCTCGGTGTGGTCTGGAAGACACGTTGAGGAGAGAGATGGAGACCGATATGAACCAAGCAGCTGATCCTGATCTTAATACATCCTATAGTCTGCAGAAGAAGAGTCAGGGGGTCCCAGGTCAGAGATCACCCAGCAGAATGGGAGTCCTTGTCCAAGAGCACAGGAGTCAGGTAGTCCCAGGTCAGAGGTCACTCAACAGTCTGGGGGTCCTTGTCCAGGAGGACAGGAGAGAGATAGAGTCCCACATGAACCAAGCTACAGATCCTGTTCTTAGTCCATCCAATAGTCTGCAGAAGAAGAGCCAGGTGGTCCCAGGCCAGAGATCAACCAGCAGTTTTGGGGTTCTTGTCCAGGAGGACAGGAGTCAGGTGACCCCGGTTCTACAGATCCTGGTGAGCTTGGATCTGAAGATGTGGAATCAAGTCCCGAGTACCTCACAACCTGCTATGTATAGTCAGTACTGTGCCTGCCTGTGGCCAGCCCTCTGTTCCCATGTCTTCCATGCTGTCTGTCTGGGGATGAGGGGACCGAGGGCACTACCAGCTCTGCTGTCACTTCCTGAGGGGTTGTGTGCATCCGCTGTCCACGTACTGCGGGATACATTCATGTCAGGTATGCAATGAATGAAACAAGGGTCATATATGTACAGTCTGTCTGGTCATTACTACTGGGGGAAGTGGGCGGGTCTATCTGGTCATTACTAATGGAGAAGGTGGGTGGGTGGGTCTGGTTGGGTATTACTAATGGTGGAGGTGGGTGGGTTTGTCTGGTCATTACTAATATTGGAGGTGGACAGGTCTGTCTGGTGACTACTAATGATGGAGGTAGGTGGGTCTATCAGCTCATTACGAATGATGGAGTTTGTCTGGTCATTACTAATGATGGAGGTGGGTGGGTCTATCGGCTCATTACGAATGATGGAGTTTGTCTGGTCATTACTAATGGTGGAGGTGGGTGGGTCTATCGGCTCATTACGAATGATGGAGTTTGTCTGGTCATTACTAATGGTGGAGGTGGGTGGGTTTGTCTGGTCATTACTAAGGGAGAAGGTGGGTGGGTCTGGTTGGGTATTACTAATGGTGGAGGTGGGTGGGTTTGTCTGGTCATTACTAAGGGAGAAGGTGGGTGGGTCTGGTTGGGTATTACTAATGGTGGAGGTGGGTGGGTTTGTCTGGTCATTACTAATGTTTGAGGTGGACAGGTCTGTCTGGTGACTACTAATGATGGAGGTAGGTGGGGTCTATCGGCTCATTACGAATGATGGAGTTTGGCGGGGTTTGTCTGGTCATTACTAATGATGGAGGTGGTGGGTGGTTCTATTTGGTCAATACTAATGGTGGAGGTGGGCGGATCTGTCTGGTCATTACTACTGATGGAGGTGGGTGGTTCTATATGGTCAATACTAATGGTGGAGGTGGGCGGATCTGTCTGGTCATTATAATGATGGAGGAGGTGGGTGGTTCTATATGGTCAATACTAATGGTGGAGGTGGGCGGATCTGTCTGGTCATTACTAATGATGGAGGTGGGTGGTTCTATATGGTCAATACTAATGGTGGAGGTGGGCGGATCTGTCTGGTCATTACTAATGATGGAGGTGGGTGGTTCTATATGGTCAATACTAATGGTGGAGGTGGGCGGATCTGTCTGGTCATTACTAATGATGGAGGTGGGTGGTTCTATATGGTCAATACTAATGGTGGAGGTGAGCGGATCTGTTTGGTCATTTCTAATGGTGGGTGGGTTTGTCTGGACATTACTAATGATGGAGGTAGGAGTTGACGAGAGTTGAGAACATTGCTGGATTATCCATGAAAGGGGGGGGGGGGGGGAGGGGGGGGTTTGCTGATATTTTTCAGATTGTCAGATTCTCCATGGATGGGGAGGAGTTGGGGATATTGTCGGATTCTCCATGGATGGGGGAGGAGTTGGGGATATTGTCGGACTTTCTCCATGTGATGAGGGTGGTCGGATTCTCATGATGAGGAGTTGGGGTTATTGTTGGATTCTTATGGATGAGGAGGAGTTGGGGGATATTCTCAATGGATGGAGGAGTTGGGGATATTGTCGGATTCTCATGGATGGGGAGGAGTTGGGGATATGTTTGGTTATCATGTTGGATTCTCAATGATGAGGAGGAGTTGGGGATATTGTCGGATTCTCCATGGATGGGGAGGAGTTGGGGATATTGTGGATTCTCCATGGATGGGGAGGAGTGGGGATATTGTCGGATTCTCATGGATGGGGAGGAGTTTGGGGATATTGTCGGATTCTCCATGGATGGGGAGGAGTTGGGGATATTGTTGGATTCTCCATGGATGGATGGGGATATTGTCTGATTCTACTCCATGGAGGAGTTGGGGATATTGTCGGATTCTCCATGGATGGGGAGGAGTTGGGGATATTGTATTGGATTCTCCATGGATGAGGAGGAGTTGGGGATATTGTCGGATTATTCTCCATGGATGGGGAGGAGATGGGGATATTGTTGGATTCTCCAATGGATGGGGAGGAGTGGGGGATATTGTTGGATTCTCCATGGATGGAGGAGTTGGGGGGATATTGTCGGATTCTCCATGGATGGGGAGGAGATGGGGATATTGTTGGATTCTCCATGGATGGGGAGGAGTTGGGGGGATATTGTCGGATTCTCCATGGATGGGGAGAGTTGGGGATATTGTGGATTCTCCATGGATGAGAGGAGTTGGGGATATTGTTGGATTCTCCATGGATGGGAGGAGTTGGGGATATTGTCGGATTCTCCATGGATGGGGAGGAGATGGGGATATTGTCGGATTCTCCATGGATGGGGAGGAGTTGGGGATATTGTTGGATTCTCCATGGATGGGGAGGAGTTGGGGATATTGTCGGATTCTCCATGGATGGGGAGGAGTTGGGGATATTGTCGGATTCTCCATGGATGGGGAGGAGTTGGGGATATTGTTGGATTCTCCATGGATGGGGAGGAGTTGGGGATATTGTCGGGTTCTCCATGGATGGGGAGGAGTTGGGGATATTGTCGGATTCTCCATGGATGGGGAGGAGTTGGGGATATTGTCTGGGTCTCCATGGATGGGGAGGAGTTGGGGATATTGTCGGATTCTCCATGGATGGGGAGGAGTTGGGGATATTGTCGGATTCTCCATGGATGGGGAGGAGTTGGGGATATTGTCGGATTCTCCATGGATGGGGAGGAGTTGGGGATATTGTCGGATTCTCCATGGATGGGGAGGAGTTGGGGATATTGTCGGATTCTCCATGGATGGAGGAGGAGTTGGGGATATTGTCGGATTCTCCATGGATGGGGGAGGAGATGGGGATATTGTCGGATTCTCCATGGATGGGGAGGAGTTGGGGATATTGTCGGATTCTCCATGGATGGGGGAGGAGTTGGGGATATTGTCGGATTCTCCATGGATGGGGAGGAGATGGGGATATTGTCGGGGTCTCCATGGATGGGGAGGAGTTGGGGATATTGTCGGATTCTCCATGGATGGGGAGGAGTTGGGGATATTGTCGGATTCTCCATGGATGAGGAGGAGTTGGGGATATTGTCGGATTCTCCATGGATGGGGAGGAGATGGGGATATTGTCGGATTCTCCATGGATGGGGAGGAGATGGGGATATTGTCGGATTCTCCATGGATGGGGAGGAGTTGGGGATATTGTCGGATTCTCCATGGATGGGGAGGAGTTGGGGATATTGTCGGGGATTCTCCATGGATGGGGAGGAGATGGGGATATTGTCGGATTCTTCATGGATGGGGAGGAGTTGGGGATATTGTCGGATTCTCCATGGATGGGGAGAAGTTGGGGATATTGTCGGATTCTCCATGGATGAGGAGGAGTTGGGGATATTGTCGGATTCTCCATGGATGGGGAGGAGATGGGGATATTGTTGGATTCTCCATGGATGAGGAGGAGTTGGGGATATTGTCGGGATTCTCCATGGATGGGGAGGAGATGGGGATATTGTCGGATTCTCCATGGATGGGGAGGAGTTGGGGATATTGTCGGGGTCTCCATGGATGGGGAGGAGTTGGGGATATTGTCGGATTCTCCATGGATGGGGAGGAGATGGGGATATTGTCGGGATTCTCCATGGATGGGGAGGAGTTGGGGATATTGTCGGATTCTCCATGGATGGGGAGAAGTTGGGGATATTGTCGGATTCTCCATGGATGGGAGGAGTTGGGGATATTGTCGGGATTCTCCATGGATGGGGGGAGGAGATGGGGATATTGTCGGGGTCTCCATGGATGGGGAGGAGTTGGGGATATTGTCGGATTCTCCATGGATGGGGAGGAGATGGGGATATTGTCGGATTCTCCATGGATGGGAGGAGTTGGGGATATTGTCGGATTCTCCATGGATGGGGAGGAGATGGATATTGTCGGATTCTCCATGGATGGGGAGGAGATGGGGATATTGTCGGATTCTCCATGGATGGGGAGGAGTTGGGGATATTGTCGGATTCTCCATGGATGGGGGAGGATGGGGATATTGTCGGATTCTCCATGGATGGGGAGGAGTTGGGGATATTGTCGGGTCTCCATGGATGGGGAGGAGTTGGGGATATTGTCGGATTCTCATGGATGGGGAGGAGTTGGGGATATTGTCGGGGTCTCCATGGATGGGGAGGAGTTGGGGATATTGTCGGGATTCTCCATGGATGGGGAGGAGTTGGGGATATTGTCGGGATTCTCCATGGATGGGGAGGAGTTGGGGATATTGTCGGATTCTCCATGGATGGGGAGGAGTTGGGGATATTGTCGGGGTCTCCATGGATGGGGAGGAGTTGGGGATATTGTCGGATTCTCCATGGATGGGGAGAGAGTTGGGGATATTGTCGGGATTCTCCATGGATGGGGAGGAGTTGGGGATATTGTCGGATTCTCCATGGATGGGGAGGAGTTGGGGATATTGTCGGGGTCTCCATGGGGGAGGAGTGGGGGATCGGGGATGGGAGGAGTTGGGGATATTGTCGGATTCTCCATGGATGGGGAGGAGTTGATATTGGGGATATTGTCGGATTCTCCATGGATGGGGAGGAGTTGGGGATATTGTCGGATTCTCCATGGATGGGGAGGAGTTGGGGATATTGTCGGGGATTCTCCATGGATGTGGGGATATTGTCGGATTCTCCATGGATGGGGAGGAGTTGGGGATATTGTCGGATTCTCCATGGATGGGGAGGAGTTGGGGATATTGTCGGATTCTCCATGGATGGGGAGGAGTTGGGGATATTGTCGGGATTCTCCATGGATGGGGAGGAGTTTGGGGATATTGTCGGATTCTCCATGGATGGGGAGGAGATGGGGATATTGTCGGGGTCTCCATGGATGGGGAGGAGTTGGGGATATTGTCGGATTCTCCATGGATGGGGAGGAGTGGGGATATTGTCGGATTCTCCATGGATGGGGAGGAGTTGGGGATATTGTCGGGATTCTCCATGGATGGGGAGGAGTTGGGGATATTGTCGGATTCTCCATGGATGGGGAGGAGTTGGGGATATTGTCGGATTCTCCATGGATGGGGAGGAGTTGGGGATATTGTCGGATTCTCCATGGATGGGGAGGAGTTGGGGATATTGTCGGATTCTCCATGGATGGGGAGGAGTGGGGATATTGTCGGATTCTCCATGGATGGGGAGGAGTTGGGGATATTGTCGGGATTCTCCATGGATGGGGAGGAGTGGGGATATTGTCGGGATTCTCCATGGATGGGGAGGAGGAGTTGGGGAGGAGTTGATTCTCCATGGATGGGGAGGAGTTGGGGATATTGTCGGATTCTCCATGGATGGGTCTCCATGGAGGAGGTTGGGGATATTGTCGGATTCTCCATCGGGTTCTCCATGGGGAGGAGTTGGGGATATTGTCGGGATTCTCCATGGATGGGGAGGAGTTGGATATTCGGGTTTCTCCATGGATGGGGAGGAGTTGGGGATATTGTCGGATTCTCCATGGATGGGGAGGAGTTGGGGATATTGTCGGGGTCTCCATGGATGGGGAGGAGTTGGGGATATTGTCGGGATTCTCCATGGATGGGGAGGAGTTGGGGATATTGTCGGATTCTCCATGGATGGGGAGGAGTTGGGGATATTGTTGGATTCTCCATGGATGGGGAGATGGGGATATTGTATTGGATTCTCCATGGATGGGGAGGAGTTGGGATTCTCCATAGAAGTTGTTGATATCGGGGTCTCCATGGATGGGGAGGAGTTGGGGATATTGTCGGATTCTCCATGGATGGGGAGGAGTTGGGGATATTGTTGGATTCTCCATGGATGAGGAGGAACTTGGGATATTGTCGGGGTCTCCATGGATGAGGAGGGGTTGGTGATATTGTTGGATTCTCCATGGATGGGAGGAGTTGGGGATATTGTTGGGGTCTCCATGGATGGGGAGGAGTTGGGGATATTGTTGGATTCTCCATGGATGGGGAGGAGTTGGTGATATTGTTGGGGTCTCCATGGATGAGGAGGGGTTGGGGATGTTGATGGATTTGGATATATCGGGGGGTCTGTGTATTTCCGGCGGTCTGATCTCTAATGTCTTCTCTCAGAGGATCTCCCGGAGTCTTGTGTCTCGCTGGGCCGCAGCCTCTGTCAGAACCTTCTTGGTGTCCGGAGTCTCATCGCCTGGGACAACAGTAAGTGAAGGTCGTCCATTGGAAGGCCACCACCCGGTCTTATGTTTTTCTGTATATTAAGTTTTATTAGCCAGATATTTAGGCCTCGTCTGGTGCCAGCTTTGGGTCCTTCAGGTGGCACTTTGTGTCATTGTTACCTGATCCCTCCATGAGGAAGAATCCTACAAACCCCACATATGAGTGTGAATGTCATTGTCACCTGATCCCTCCACGAGGAAGAGTCCTACAACCCCCACATATGAGTGTGAATGTCATTGTCACCTGACCCCTCCACGAGGAAGAGTCCTACAACCCCCACATATGAGTGTGAATATCATTGTCACCTGATCCCTCCACGAGGAAGAGTCCTACAACCCCCACATATGAGTATGAATGTCCTTGTGACCTGATCCCTCCACGAGGAAGAGTCCTACAACCCCCACATATGAGTGTGAATGTCACTGTCACCTGATCCCTCCACGAGGAAGAGTCCTACAACCCCCACATATGAGTATGAATGTCATTGTGACCTGATCCCTCCACGAGGAAGAGTCCTACAACCCCCACATATGAGTATGAATGTCATTGTCACCTGACTCCCTCCACGAGGAAGAGTCCTACAACCCCCACATATGAGTGTGAATGTCATTGTCACCTGATCCCTCCACGAGGAAGAGTCCTACAACCCCCACATATGAGTGTGAATGTCATTGTCACCTGACCCTCCACGAGGAAGAGTCCTACAACCCCCACATATGAGTGTGAATGTCATTGTCACCTGACCCCTCCACGAGGAAGAGTCCTACAACCCCCACATATGAGTGTGAATGTCATTGTCACCTGATCCCTCCACGAGGAAGAGTCCTACAACCCCCACATATGAGTGTGAATGTCATTGTCACCTGATCCCTCCACGAGGAAGAGTCCTACAACCCCCCCACATATGAGTATGAATGTCATTGTCACCTGATCCCTCCACGAGGAAGAGTCCTACAACCCCCACATATGAGTGTGAATGTCATTGTCACCTGACCCCTCCACGAGGAAGAGTCCTACAACCCCCACATATGAGTGTGAATGTCATTGTCACCTGATCCCTCCACGAGGAAGAGTCCTACAACCCCCACATATGAGTGTGAATGTCATTGTCACCTGACCCCTCCACGAGGAAGAGTCCTACAACCCCCACATATGAGTGTGAATGTCATTGTCACCTGATCCCTCCACGAGGAAGAGTCCTACAACCCCCACATATGAGTGTGAATGTCATTGTCACCTGACCCCTCCACGAGGAAGAGTCCTACAACCCCCACATATGAGTGTGAATGTCATTGTCACCTGATCCCTCCACGAGGAAGAGTCCTACAACCCCCACATATGAGTGTGAATGTCATTGTCACCTGATCCCTCCACGAGGAAGAGTCCTACAACCCCCACATATGAGTGTGAATGTCATTGTCACCTGATCCCTCCACGAGGAAGAGTCCTACAACCCCCACATATGAGTGTGAATGTCATTGTCACCTGATCCCTCCACGAGAAGAGTCCTACAACCCCCACATATGAGTGTGAATGTCATTGTCACCTGATCCCTCCACGAGGAAGAGTCCTACAACCCCCACATATGAGTGTGAATGTCATTGTCACCTGATCCCTCCACGAGGAAGAGTCCTACAACCCCCACATATGAGTGTGAATGTCATTGTCACCTGACCCCTCCACGAGGAAGAGTCCTACAACCCCCACATATGAGTATGAATGTCATTGTCACCTGATCCCTCCACGAGGAAGAGTCCTACAACCCCCACATATGAGTGTGAATGTCATTGTCACCTGACCCCTCCACGAGGAAGAGTCCTACAACCCCCACATATGAGTGTGAATGTCATTGTCACCTGATCCCTCCACGACGGAAGAGTCCTACAACCCCCACATATGAGTATGAATGTCATTGTCACCTGATCCCTCCACGCCCCGTGGGCCAGTGGTGTGGTTGTTAGTCTCTCCCCAGTTTTTGTGTTCATACGTAAAGAGAACAGACGAGAAGACTGACGTTACAGGCAGTTGGAGATCGGTACAACCCCCACCCACACACCTCTTCTCTCTCCTCTGTACAGCAGTGTGCCAGGCGCTAAGCTCCGCCCTAACAGATAAGTGTTCAGCCTCCACGTCGGGTAGTGGAGATCTGGTCTCTGGGAATCACAGCAGAACCTGCAGGATTTTGGTGACTTTGTGCCAACACCTATCTGCTTTACTGGTTACACCGAACTCCAGCCACCAATCGCCTTCCCAGGAACCCCGGAATCTGGGCGAGCACCTCTTCTCTCCTCCATGGTCTGAGCTGTGTGCAGTCATCCACCAGCAGGGGGTGCTGAGCCGCTGCACTCTCACCCTCCACCTGTGTGACATGTGGTTACGAAGCCACGCCCAGATCTTCATGTCCTCCGGGTCACTCGGTCAGCTGGTGCTCATCACACACGGTGACCTGCCGGTAAAGGAGCTCCTCGCCAAGCCGTTCATTCATTTACAGATCAGCTCATTAACTACTTTTAATATTCTTAGATTTTATTTTATATTCTATTTTTTTATATTATATTTCATTTAATTCTTTTTTTTATTTTAGATTTCATATTATATTATATTTTGTTATATTTTTAGATTGTAATATAGATTTTATTTTATTATATTTTATGAGATTTTACTGTACTTTATATTTTATTATTAAAACTGTAAAAAAAACCTAAGAATTAGTGCTAGTCCCAGTAGTCCCATGTACCTTTGTGTAGACCATCGTACGCAGAGTTCCATGTCCAGGTTGCCCCGCCCTTTGTGGATATCAGCACCCCAGCCTGGAGTAGGTCATGTGACCTAGGGTCAGAGGGCAGCCACTGATCACGGCTGCTAGACAAGTTCATAGACACTTTCATATCCATACTTAATGTATTAAAACAGCTTTGCTCCCCTCCCCCCATGCCCTAGATCAGAGCAGATCTCAGTCCTCTCCTGCCCTCCTTGATGGGGCAGAGGTGTGGAGTGGGGGGGGGGGAGTGGGGAGGCAGAGATGTGGAGTGGGGGAGGCAGAGATGTGGAGGGGTGGGGGAGGCAGAGATGTGGAGGGGTGGGGGAGGCAGAGATGTGGAGTGGGGAGGCAGAGATGTGGAGTGGGAGGGGAGGGGAGGCAGAGATGTGGAGTGGAGTGGGGGGAGGCAGAGATGTGGAGTGGGAGGGGGGGAGGCAGAGATGTGGAGTGGAGGGGGAGGCAGAGATGTGGAGTGGGGGAGGCAGAGATGTGGAGTGGAGGGGGAGGCAGAGATGTGGAGTGGGGGGGAGGCAGAGTGTGGAGTGGGGGAGGCAGAGATGATGTGGAGTGGAGGGGGGAGGCAGCAGAGATGTGGAGTGGAGGGGAGGGGGGAGGCAGAGATGTGGAGGGAGGGGGGAGGCAGAGATGTGGAGTGGAGGGGGGGAGGCAGAGATGTGGAGTGGGGGGGGGAGGCAGAGATGTGGAGTCAGGGCGAGACGGGGAGGGGAGGCAGAGATGTGGGGGAGGCAGAGATGTGAGTCAGGGCGAGGGGGGGGGAGGCAGAGATGTGGAGGGGGGGAGGCAGAGATGTGGAGTGGAGGGGGGGGGAGGCAGAGATGTGGAGTGGGGGGGAGGCAGAGATGTGGAGTGGGAGGGGGGGAGGCAGAGATGTGGAGTGGAGGGGGGAGGCAGAGATGTGGAGTGAAGGTAGGAAAGCAGAGATGTGGAGTGGGGGGGGGAGGCAGAGATGTGGATTCAGTGATCGGTGATCTATTCGCACTCCTGGATTCTGTACTCCCGACTTCTAATATCTCTCCTGCTGTTTCGGGGATTGTGCCGCTCTCTCTGCAGGTGATAAAGGCGGAGTGTCGCTCTCTGGTGGTGGGAGCAGAGAATGCGGATTGGTTTCCTTTCTCCCAAAGCTCAGGGTTGAAGATGAAGAGGAGCCGGGATGTGGTGGAGGTGAGTCGGAGTTCCTCCTCCCTGTACACCCTTCTGCTGGGGGGGGGTGGTGTGCAGTGCAAGGGTTAATCATGCACTTCTAACTGGGATCTCATATGCTGGCAGTGTAAGGGTCCACTCATGCTCTTCTGGCAATGAAAGCATTGCATGTGCATCCTGATCCTTCTCTCTCCACTCAGAAGCAGCTACACAGCACATGTCCCAGTCCTGCAGCCTTCTCTCTCCACTCAGAAGCAGCTACACAGCACATGTCCCAGTCCTGCAGCCTTCTCTCTCCAGCAGCTACACGGCACGTTTCAGTCCTGCAGCCTTCTCTCTCCACTCTCAGAAGCAGCTACACAGCACATGTCCCAGTCCTGCAGCCTTCTCTCCCTGACTCTCTCCAGCAGCTACACAGCACATGTTCCAGTCCTGCAGCCTTCTCTCTCCAGCAGCTACACAGCACATGTTCCAGTCCTGATCTTCTCTCTCTCCAGCAGCTACACAGCACATGTTCCAGTCCTGCAGCCTTCTCTCTCCACTCAGAAGCAGCTACACAGCACATGTCCCAGTCCTGCAGCCTTCTCTGATCCTCTCTCTCCAGCAGCTACACAGCACATGTTCCAGTCCTGATCCTTCTCTCTCCAGCAGCTACACAGCACATGTTCCAGTCCTGATCCTTCTCTCTCCAGCAGCTACACAGCACATGTTCCAGTCCTGATTCTTCTCTCTCCAGCAGCTACACAGCTCATGTTCCAGTCCTGCAGCCTTCTCTCACAATAGCACACCTGTGGCAAGGAGTGATTAACTTCGGGGCTGGCCACACCCCCCTCCTCGAGTTCCGCCCAATCGCTGCGAGCCTCATAGCAGGCTTCACCTCGGGGTTGGGGAGGAGTAGGACAATGGGGAGCCGGCTGATCTCCGCTGTGGGAGAAGGTACTGATCTGTCCATCACTGCCACCTTTATCAGCCGGAAGAATCGCTGGCTAGTCGCTGGGGACAGCCCACGGGAGGGCGGCTCTAACCCCCTACTGGTTGCCCGCAGCAGGGCTAAATGTAAAAATGTAACTTCTTGCCCAGCGCCCGGAGCTTCATGTCCCGGACGTCAGGTGATAGGAATTCAACATCCCTGCCTTGCTTTCTGAACTTTCCCTCCCCCATGAGGGAGTTCCCGCCTCCAGAGGTAACCTGTTGTCTCCTCCCTGCAGGGGCTGGTGGTCTCTTTGCCGCATGTTCTGGGCTCTGTGTGTTCCCGGAAGGCCCAGGGCCTCTTCCAGCACTTGATGCCAGCAGGGCGGCACTGGAGAGGGAAGCTGGTGACAGGTAAGGGGCGGAGCCTTGGGGTGTAATGTTGGAAACTCCTCCTCCTGTCATATGATACACTGAAATCTGTCTCCGCCCAGGCCCAGATCTGGCAGCCAGTGAGTACGCCCAGGCTGCAGTCAGCGCGGTGCTGGTCCCGGTCCTGGACGGGGTGGTCTCGCTATGTTTGGAGGACCAGGTGGCGGCACTGTGCGTGGCTGTTGGCGTGTTTATGGAAGCCTGGATGGGACATATCCTGCGGGAGAAGATCAAGTTCAGGTGAGATACGGACTGGGGGGGACCAGGCATGAAGTTAGGGACAATCTGTACCAGAGACTTTTAAATGGGCAACTAGAAGGGCGCATGGAGTCTGCAACCTTCAGGCCTACAAGAATAATGGGCACTGGCAAACAAACAAGAATAGCCCCTCCCACTCCCAGCATGCCCCAGTTACTAGTGTCCTAGGAGGATGGACATCATTTCTACATCTCTGCTGTGGTGAAGCTTTTGTTTTCTAGAACCTTCTTTGGTATTCTTTATTTTTTTCTTTCATCGACTTGCCTCTGTGACTCCTAGAGCTTTGCCTCTCGAGTGTCTTCTTCTGCAGCCTGGCTTTGGACCCCATTGTACCATAACTGGACCCCCGGGGGCTGGGAGCTGTGGAAACGGCCTGGAAGTGACCTCTGGGCTCTATGTGGGGCGATGTACAGACTCCTGGCATTGGACCCCATTGTACCATAACTGGACCCCCGGGGGCTGGGAGCTGTGGAAACGGCCTGGCAGTGACTTCTGGGCTCTATGTGGGGCGATGTACAGACTCCTGGCATTGGAGTACCATAACTGGACCCCGGGGGCTGTGAGCTGTGGGAACGGCCTGGAAGTGACCTCTGGGCTCTATGTGGTGCGATGTACAGACTCCTGGCATTGGACCCCATTGTACCATAACTGGACCCCCGGGGGCTGGGAGCTGTGGGAACGGCCTGGAAGTGACCTCTGGGCTCTATGTGGTGCGATGTACAGACTCCTGGCATTGGAGTACCATAACTGGACCCCCGGGGGCTGGGAGCTGTGGGAACGGCCTGGCAGTGACTTCTGGGCTCTATGTGGGGCGATGTACAGACTCCTGGCGGCATTGGAGTACCATAACTGGACCCCCGGGGGCTGGGAGCTGTGGGAACGGCCTGGCAGTGACCTCTGGGCTCTATGTGGGGCGATGTACAGACTCCTGGCATTGGAGTACCATAACTGGACCCCCGGGGGCTGGTTGCTGTGGGAACGGCCTGGAAGTGACCTCTGGGCTCTACGTGGGGCGATGTACAGACACCTGGCATTGGAGTACCATAACTGGACCCCCGGGGGCTGGGAGCTGTGGGAACGGCCTGGCAGTGACCTCTGGGCTCTATGTGGGGCTGTCAGAAACCATCGCTGGCATGGGTCTACACATGCATAGGTGTCTGTCAAGACATGCAGGCAGCAGGGCACTAGGACCCAGGTGCACCCGTCGTCTATGACAGTACTGGGCAGGCACTAGGACCTAGGCTGCCCCTGTCAGGTGCAGGCGGGCTACTTAAACCAGCCCTGCACTGGACACTTGTTGCCGAATGGGCTTTGCATATCCTGTTGCTCTGTGTTGTGAGTACTCTGATCTGGATTGTCTGACCTAGCTGTCTTCTCCTGTCCTGACCCCTTGGCTTGCCTGACTCTGCTCCTGTGTGCTCCCTTATAGATCTGATCTTCTGGTATTGACCCTGCGTGGACCCGACTATCCTTTGCCTATCGTCTTGTACCGCACCGACCCGCTAGTTACCGACACGGCCTGTTTGATCTTGCTCATCCATCTATTCATCCATCCCTCAGGGACCCCGGGCTCCCTCATGTCAGACTCTTAACCCACAGGAGCCTCTGGCAGACTCCTCTACCTCTGGTAGAGATACCCGGTAGCTGCGACCTGGTCATTGGAGCGCTCCAAGTCCATCCCCACCATCAGGGGCCCTGGTGAACAAGTGCTCCGGTACTTAGACTCCGCACTCGGGGGAGGCTCTATCAGGGGACTGATAGAGGTGCTGTCAGGTGGTCCATTACAGGGGGGATGTACAGACTCCTGGCATTGGAGTACTATAACTGGACCCCGGGGGCTGGGAGCTGTGGGAACGGCCTGGCAGTGACCTCTGGGCTCTATGTGGGGCGATGTACAGACTCCTGGCATTGGAGTACCATAACTGGACCCCCGGGGGCTGGGAGCTGTGGGAACGGCCTGGCAGTGACCTCTGGGCTCTATGTGGGGCGATGTACAGACTCCTGGCATTGGAGTACCATAACTGGACCCCCGGGGGCTGGGAGCTGTGGGAACGGCCTGGAAGTGACCTCTGGGCTCTATGTGGGGCGATGTACAGACTCCAGGCATTGGAGTACCATAACTGGACCCCCCGGGGGCTGGGATGGGGGGCCTGGCAGTGACCTCTGGACTCTACGTGGGGCGATGTACAGACTCCTGGCAGTACCACACAACCCCCGGGGGCTGGTATTGGGAACGGCCTCAGTGTGCTCTGGGCTCTATTGTGGGGCGATGTACAGACTCCTGGCATTCACACAACCCTGGTATTGCCTCTGCTCGTTCTTGGTCACCAAAGACTTGGTCATTGAGGAGGTTGGTCAGGCTGACCACGTGTGTAGGTCCCTGGGCGCCTCTTCCCAAGGGGTTACAATGGAAGTCCAGGCTAAGCCTCAACTTGCTCTCACCCCTCATATAACACCTATTCTAATTGCCCCGTGAAAGGAAGATGTGTGTACTTACCCATTCTGAGGGTACTCAGGTCCAATCATGTGATCTCCAGCAGCCGGCTTCAGGGGGGGAGAGAATGCCAACAACGGCTGCAATGTCTGCGTGATGACGTCACCCACACTGTAGGCTTACTATGGGGCATTTGTTGTCGGCTGTCCTTCCTCTCCCATGAAGTGGGCACTGGGAGCTGATCATGTGACTGGAGCACCGAGAATAGGTATGTATGCGCCTCTTCCTTTCACAGGCTTCATTAGAATAGGACTTGGAAGGGGGGTGGGGTGTAGGTGTAGGCTTAGTCAGGGCAAGCCTGGACTTCTACTGTAATGCCAAGGACGTGTGTGCTGGCGTTGTCTGTGCTCTGTCCTGCCGTAAACTGTCGAGGAAGCACCTCCCTGCTGCTGTTCTTGCTTCCAAAGAGCCTCCGATCCATTCCTGCCACCCCACTTACAATGACTTTGTTCATCAATGGCCGTCCAACTCCCACTTGCCAACAGCCTTCAGGGTTTCATGAGTTCCCAAGGCCTTGCCTCCTGTGCTGAACCTATACGTTGTCTTACCACAAGGCGGTCATAATGCCTCTGATTGTAGACACGGGGGAGGGGAGAGGACAGTCCTGCTGTACTGGGTGCCTTCAGCTCACATTCTAGCAGGAGCTCCATGGGGCTTGCTGGTGGAGCCGACATCTACCACTGGAATCTTTCCTCTGACCCGAGAGTCTGTTCCATCCTCAGACTCTCCTCTGTAGGGTGGGACCACCTTCTCTGTCCTTTTCAAGGAGACTTCAGTCTTGCATGACTTTATGGGCCAAAATCCATGATTTCCTGACTGACTACAGAGGCCACAAGCCCACTCCCACATCCTTCCCTTTCAGATCTGCTTGCAGCCGTAGTAGCCTTTGAGACACCAGCTGCTGGGACCATCTGATTCTGAGTCTCTCTGGTCCATACTGGATGAACTTGCCTCTGAGGAGTCGAATTCATTTATTACTCCCAAAGAGGGGGGCTTCAGCTCTTACTGACATTGTACCCACCGCTAAAGCCAAAGGATATAGCTTCTACCAGTGCAGTTCCCAGTCTGGGGTCCTTCAGAGCTCTTAGGACCACCATGGTTTTCCCACCGGGAATGTCTTCCTCTAAGGAGATTGCCTCACTCAAGGGCTTAAAAGCCTTGTACCCATTTGAAGAAGACTTTGTTAAAAAGTGGTATGCCCCCTCTGTGGATCTAGCAGGGTCCTGCATCATCATCATTCCAATGGAAGCTGCATGTGGTAGGAGGAGTTCTCTAGAACACTGTTGTCACTAGCAGGTCTTGCATTCATCATCATTCCAATGGAAGATGCACCTGGTAGGAGGAGCACTCCAGAACACTGTTGTCACTAGCAGGTCCAGCTCTTCATCATGATTCCAGTGGAAGCCACACCTGGTAGGAGGAGCACTCCAGGACACTGTTGTCACTAGCAGGTCTTGCATTCATCACCATTCCAATGGAAGCTGCACCTGGTAGGAGGAGTTCTCTAGGACACTGGTGTCACTAGCAGGTTTTGCATTCATCATGATTCCAATGGAAGCCGCACCTGGTAGGAAGAGCACTTCAGGACACTGTTGTCACTAGCAGGTCTTGCACTTCATCATCATTCCAATGGAAGCCGCACCTGGTAGGAGGAGCACTTCAGGACACTGTTGTCACTAGCAGGTCTTGCACTTCATCATTGTTCCAATGGAAGCCGCACCTGGTAGGAGGAGCACTTCAGGACGACACTGTTGTCACTAGCAGGTCTTGCACTTCATCATCGTTCCAATGGAAGCCGCACCTGGTAGGAGGAGCACTTCAGGACACTGTTGTCACTAGCAGGTCTTGCACTTCATCATCGTTCCAATGGAAGCCGCACCTGGTAGGAGGAGCACTTCAGGACACTGTTGTCACTAGCAGGTCTTGCACTTCATCATCGTTCCAATGGAAGCCGCACCTGGTAGGAGGAGCACTTCAGGACACTGTTGTCACTAGCAGGTCTTGCACTTCATCATCGTTCCAATGGAAGCCGCACCTGGTAGGAGGAGCACTTCAGGACACTGTTGTCACTAGCAGGTCTTGCACTTCATCATCGTTCCAATGGAAGCCGCACCTGGTAGGAGGAGCACTTCAGGACACTGTTGTCACTAGCAGGTCTTGCACTTCATCATCATTCCAATGGAAGCCGCACCTGGTAGGAGGAGCACTTCAGGACACTGTTGTCACTAGCAGGTCTTGCATTCATCATCATTCCAATGGAAGCCGCACCTGGTAGGAGGAGCACTTCAGGACACTGTTGTCACTAGCAGGTCTTGCATTCATCATTCCAATGGAAGCCGCACCTGGTAGGGGGAGCACTTCAGGACACTGTTGTCACTAGCAGGTCTTGCTCTTCATCATGATTCCAATGGAAGCCGCACCTGGTAGGAAGAGCACTTCAGGACACTGTTGTCACTAGCAGGTCTTGCACTTCATCATCATTCCAATGGAAGCCGCACCTGGTAGGAGGAGCTCTCCAGAACACTGTTGTCACTAGCAGGTCTTGCATTCATCATTCCAATGGAAGCCGCACCTGGTAGGAGGAGCACTTCAGGACACTGTTGTCACTAGCAGGTCTTGCTCTTCATCATCATTCCAATGGAAGCCGCACCTGGTAGGAGGAGCACTTCAGGACACTGTTGTCACTAGCAGGTCTTGCACTTCATCATCGTTCCAATGGAAGCCGCACCTGGTAGGAGGAGCACTTCAGGACGACACTGTTGTCACTAGCAGGTCTTGCACTTCATCATCGTTCCAATGGAAGCCGCACCTGGTAGGAGGAGCACTTCAGGACACTGTTGTCACTAGCAGGTCCAGCTCTTCATCTTGTCTTCTGGCTGATTGGTTGAAGGCTATTAGAAGGAATGGTGTCACTATGGTCCTCGTCAGGGTGCTCCAGCTTTTGGCTCCACCATCTCTAGCTGGTCCAGAAAGACCATCATCCAAGGTTATGGCCTAACCCTCTCAGGCTCCTCCTTTTCTGTCAGGGTCACGCTAGATTTACACGGTTGCCCTCTGGTCTTCTGTTCACATGTTCTCCAGTTTTCATCAGGTGGACTTTCAGGACTCCTCTGACGCCAGCTTCGGGCAGAAGGTCCTTCAGAGGGCTCTTTGAGCTGCAGGCTTTCCTCCCTTCTGTTTTCTTGGACCTCTTAGTGTTTTATTGGTTCTGCTGCCCATCCCTTCGTGGAGCTGCCATTGGCCGTCCTGACAGCTATTGACCTTTGCTTGAAGTGGAAGACACAGGTTCACGCCCCCTCCCTGTGTTTATGATCATGTTCTTCATCCTGCTTTGCTGTAAAACTGAAGCATGCTGGGAGTAGGAGGGGCTATCCTAAGCAGGCCTACAGATTATTTTTCTTTTCCCAATGTCCTCCTGTAATTGGCAGTTTAGACTGAAGTGGTCTCTGTATGTCATGTGATCTCTGTGTGTCTCGCTCCGCCCCCTTGTCTCTGTATGTCATGTGATCTCGGTGTGTCTGTTGCTCCGCCCCCTTGTCTCTGTATGTCATGTGATCTCGGTGTGTCTGTCGCTCCGTCCCCTTGTCTCTGTATGTCATGTGATCTCTGTGTCTGTTGCTCCGCCCCCTTGTCTGTCATGTGATCTCTGTGTCTGGTGCTCCGCCCCCTTGTCTCTGTATGTCATGTGATCTCTGTGTGTCTGTTGCTCCGCCCCCTTGTCTCTATGTCATGTGATCTCGTGTGTGTCTCTTGCTCCGCCCCCTTGTCTCTGTATGTCGTGTGATCTCGGTGTCTCTCGCTCCGCCCCCTTGTCTCTGTATGTCATGTGATCTCGGTGTCTCTCGCTCCGCCCCCTTGTCTCTGTGTGTCATGTGATCTCGGTGTGTCTCTCGCTCCCCCCCCTGTCTCTGTATGTCATGTGATCTCGGTGTGTCTCTCGCTCCGCCCCCTTGTCTCTGTATGTCATGTGTCATGTGATCTCGGTATGTCATGTGATCTCGGTGTGTCTGTTGCTCCGGCCCCTTGTCTCTGTATGTCATGTGATCTTGGTGTGTCTCTCGCTCCGCCCCTTGTCTCTGTATGTCATGTGATCTCGGTGTGTCTGTTTGCTCCGCCCCCTTGTCTCTGTATGTCATGTGATCTCGGTGTGTCTGTCGCTCCGCCCCCCGTCTCTGTATGTCATGTGATCTCGGTGTGTCTGTCGCTCCGCCCCCTTGTCTCTGTATGTCATGTGATCTCGGTGTGTCTGTCGCTCCGCCCCCTTGTCTCTGTATGTCATGTGATCTCGGTGTGTCTCTCGCTCCGCCCCCTTTTCTCTGAATGTCATGTGATCTCGGTGTGTCTTGCTCCGCCCCCTCGTCTCTGTATGTCATGTGATCTCGGTGTGTCTCTCGCTCCGCCCCCTCGTCTCTGTATGTCATGTGATCTCGGTGTGTCTCTCGCTCCGCCCCCTTGTCTGTGTCATGTGATCTCGGTGTGTCTCTCGCTCCGCCCTCTTGTCTCTGTGTCATGTGATCTCAGTGTATCTCTCGCTCCGCCCTCTTGTCTCTGTGTCATGTGATCTCGGTGTGTCTCTCGCTCCGCCCCCTTGTCTTTGTATGTCATGTGATCTCGGTGTGTCTCTCAGTTTGCAGGGGACTCTCCAGCTCAGACGTGACTTTGAGAGTGTGCGGGATGTGCTGCGGTCTCGGGAGTCCATGTTGTCTCCGGATGTGGTCCAGGCCGCTCTGGCTCTCCCAGTCTTCGCTCAGGCTGACAACGCCATCGTGTGTCTCTTGCAGCAACCGACTCGCAAGACATACCTTCAGTCTGGGAGCTGCGTGTTCTTCCCGTGTTGTGAGTGATGTTCATGTGTTCCTCTCTGCTGTCTCCACCCACTCATCTCCTTTGACCTGCTCAGTCTTCTAATCTCCCCTCCCCCACTCTCCTGGTGTCTTCCCTCCACTCTCCTGGTGTCCCCGCCCTCTAATCTTTCCCTCCACTCTCCTGGTGTCGTCCCCCGCACTCTAATCTTCCCTCCCTCTCCCTCTAATCTTCCCTCCACTCTCCTGGTGTCCCCGCACTTCTAATCTTCCCTCCCCCACTCTCCTGGTGTCCCCGCCTTCTAATCTTCCCTCCCCCACTCTCCTGGTGTCCCCGCCCTCTAATCTTCCCTCCACTCTCCTGGTGTCCCCGCCCTCTAATCTTCCCTCCACTCTCCTGTGTCCCCGCCCTCTAATCTTCCCTCCACTCTCCTGGTGTCCCCGCCCTCTAATCTTCCCCACTCTCCTGGTGTCCCCGCACTCTAATCTTCCCTCCCCTCCCCCACTCTCCTGGTGTCCCCCGCCCTCTAATCTTCCCTCCCCTCCCCCTCTGAGTTCTCATCCAATGAGCACTGTTCATGTGTTCTTCTGGTGTCTCCGCCCTCTAATCTTCCCTCCCCTGCTCAGGTCCTCCTCTGTGCCGGGTGGCCGTGGACAGCATGTCGGACAGTCTGCAGAGTCTGGACAGCCTAGAGAGGAGAGTGTGGGACGGGGACATCTCCAGAGGCGTACCACGACACAGCCACGATTCTTATCTGCCGCACAATCAGCGCCAGTGGCTTTCCCTACGTGTCCACAAGACCTGGAATGGACTGAGTCTTCCCTGGGAGGGCCGAGAAGTGTCAGAAGGATGAGGGGCCCCTTGGGTGGTTCCTACAATACCTGGAATGGACTGAGTCTTCCCTGGGCCGGCCGAGAAGTATCAGAAGGATAAGTGTTCCCTGGGAGGGCCGAGAAGTGTCAGAAGGATAAGGGGCCCCTTGGGTGGTTCCTACAAGACCTGGAATGGACTGAGTCTTCCCTGGGAGGGCCGAGAAGTGTCAGAAGGATAAGGGGCCCCTTGGGTGGTTCCTACAATACCTGGAATGGACTGAGTCTTTCCTGGGCCGGCCGAGAAGTGTCAGAAGGATGAGTGTTCCCTGGTAGGGCCAAGAAACATCAGAAGGATGAGGGGCCCCTTGGGTGGTTCCTACAATATTTGGAATAGACTGAGCCTTCCCTGGGAGGGCTGAGAGGTGTCAGAAGGATGAGTGTTGCCTGGGAGGGCCAAGAACTGTCAGAAGTTTGAGGTGGCCCTCGTGTAGTTCCCTACAAGATTTGCAATAGCCTGAGCCCACCTTGGGAGAGCCAAGTAGTGTTAGAAGGATGAGGGACCCCTCAGGTGAGGTCCACTGATGACGCCCCCAACCTCAGGACAAGATGGGGGGTGAACCTTCGAAGCAATGTCCTTCCAGAGCCATCCTGGGCCCAGGCAACTTCAAGTGCCAAGTAATCTTCTGCAACCTATAGCCACCCCTTTCCTGGGCACAGGGACTGGCTATATGGGCCCCTTCTCTCTACCGTAACTGCCCATCTGAGCTCTTCTTCTCCCTTGCCTCGTGGCTTTCTCTTCGCAGCCCAGGAACTGGTATACCACCTCCCAGCCGGCCTCCTCTCCCAGGCAGAGGGACTAACCCAGACATGGCTCACCACCCTGACCAAGCACTGGCTCCTCCTCTCCTGGGCACAGGGATTGCCCTTTCGGCCTCCTCCCAGGTGGTGGTCACGCTCAAGTTCACCTACACCCGCTGGGCCTGATATTCTGAGTAGAATCCGCTCTATTTAATATATTTGATATTTATTTCATACAGAGATTTATTTTAATAAAGATTTGTAATATTGAACCCGCTGCCTCTTTTTTTTTTTTTTTCTCATGTTGGGATTTTATTCCTCCTCTGGGAGGTGATGTGCTTGGAGTTGGCCAGGAAACCATCGCACACAATGAGATTCTCCTCTCTGGCATTATGGCAGATCAAAGGGTGGTGTCAGCAGTAAATGGGTGGGGCCTAATCCCTGTATAATAATAGCTCCACCTACCACAGATCAAACAGCTGGTGACACCAGTAAGTGGGCAGGTTAATTGCCCAATCCTCTATCCATCTTTGTAAATATAAGGATCTGTCCTATGCCCTTGTCCCATTGGCTGCTAGGAATGGTGAATGCCCAGGCATTCGGTAGTTTGGGTCCAATCAGATCTCTGCACACATAGGCATGGTTGTGTTAATGGGGACTGCTGCCATATTGCCGGGCCGGTATCCAAGCTGGTTCTATTATTGACTGCACAGATCTTTGTTTACATCATAACTAGTTCACATTTTTAGACCAACTTTATTTACAGATTATTGGCACAGCGATGGGTGCAAATTCTCCCCGCTGTGCCAACTGAACGATGGGCCTTTGGGGAAAACAGTACGTATGGTCGAATCAATCCTTTTGGCAGATATATCGACGATATTTTATTGATTTGGGATGGTGGTCTCGACGAGTGGGTACTTCGTGTGTGGGGTGAATGAATGTCGGAACTTCGTGTAGGGTGAATAAATGTCGGAACTTTGTGTAGGGTGAATAAATGCTTTATTGAACACAACTCAACTTATACAGCACATCCTGGCAGTAATCCCTGCCCCCCTCCACCCCCACCAGTCTGGCACCTGGTTCCCCACCCACACCCAAAACTCTACAGTACAATACAGCAGTAATCAGCACAGTATGAACTCTAGAGAAGGGAACGACTACAAGTCCCCATTATCCTAAACAGTGTAGAATGTCTGTCTACATAACAGCTACTAACACATACAGCTTTACAAAGGGGAGAATGGGGAACGGCTTACCAGAGGGGAGAACGGGGAGACGGCTTACCGAGGGGAGAGATGGGGAGACGGGTCTTTTTACCGAGGGGAGAATGGGGAGACGGCTTACCGAGGGGAGACGGCTTACCGAGGGGAGAATGGGGAGACGGCTCTTACCGAGGGGAGACGGCTTACCGAGGGGAGACGGCTTACCGAGGGGAGAACGGCTTACCGAGGGGAGAACGGGGAGACGGCTTACCGAGGGGGAGAAGGCTTACCGAGGGGAGAACGGGGAGACGGCTTACCGAGGGGAGAACGGGAAGACCGCTTACCGAGGGGAGAACGGGGAGACGCTTACCGAGGGGAGAACGGGGGAGACGGGCTTACGAGGGGAGACGGGGGGAAGGACGCTTACCGAGGGGAGAACGGGGAGACGGCTTACCGAGGGGAGACGGCTTACCGAGGGGAGACCGCTTAGAGGGAGAACGGGGAGACGGCTTACCGAGGGGAGACGGCTTACCGAGGGGAGACGGCTCTTACCGAGGGAGAACGGGGAGACTGCTTAGAGGGGAGAACGGGAGAGGACCGCTTACGAGGGGAGAACGGGGAGAGGCTTACCGAGGGGGAGAACGGGAAGACGGCTTACGAGGGGAGACGGGGAAGACGGCTTACCGAGGGGAGAACGGGGGGAAGACCGCTTACCGAGGGGAGAACGGGAAGACGGCTTACCGAGGGGAGAACGGGAAGAACCGTCTCTTACGAGGGGGATCGGGAACGGGAAGACGGCTTACCCGGGGAGAACGGGAAGACCGCTTACCGAGGGGAGAACGGGGAAGACCTCTTACCGAGAACGGAGTGGGAGAACGGGGGAAGACCGCTTACCCAGGGGAGAACGGGAGAGGCCGCTTACCGAGGGGAGAACGGGGAGGCCGCTTACCGAGGGGAGAACGGGGGAGGCCGCTTAACGAGGGGAGAAAGAAAGGGCAAAATGTTATCACAAAGGGACGGTTCTTCACAACCAGACCTCAGAGGATCCATTACCTCAGAGACTCCAGAACCATCACCAGAGAGACCCATACACACCGGACCTCAGAGGATCCATTACACCAGAGAGTCCAGAACCATCACCAGAGATATCCGTACACACTGGACTCCACACTGCCTGCAGAAGATTGAGGAGTCCATTGTTGGCCGGGGGATCTGAACTTTGTATGTTTTCATATATCAGAGGGATTATGTCACATAAAAGGTATTGATGTGGGGGATGGACGTGATCTCTGACGGTACACATTGCGAGCTGTGTGCAGATATACATGGGGGTGTCCGGGTTGTACAGAACCTCCGATGGACAGACACAATGGTGGTATGGTTTCCACCTGCTCCACCCCGTAAGACGCTTGGCCTGGTTGTGATCAGGATGAGGTGTTCATGTCTGAAATCCCAACCTGACCCAACTATCAGAACTGGATTGTCTGGTCCATATGACCCATGACCACTTCAAAAAGGCAGAACCCTCCTCCTGGCAGGTAAGGTGACACCCCCCAGGTGATTGGTCAAAGATTAGAGTCCCTCCCACATCTATAACTCATTAGTAAAAACTTTGTAATTATAGGACAACTAGCGTTCTCATAATAATTGTCCAGCCTGCTGGTCATTTTGGAGGATGTGTGATGGAGGGCAATACCTCATGTATGGATCTACCTCCCCCATCCCCCCATCTATAGTCCCCTATGATAGTGGAGATCAATGGTTTGTTCTTTTTTAAATGTATCTTCTTTCTCCGATCTTCTGGAAGATTTCACCATAATGTTCCCTCCACCCAGACATATCCTGGGTGCTCAGAGCTCAGTCCTCCCACATCGAGCTATCCCATGTGACCTGCAGGGGGTGATGAGCAGAGATTTGTGGGATCATAGAGAGGAGATATATGTATACAGAGGAGAGAGATCAATATTCAGCAATCATATCGCTGGAAGCCGAGGAACTGCCCAGAGCAACACCCAGACTATACAAAGATGGCGGACTAAGAGGGACTAAGAGGACTACAGAAAGATGGCGGACTAAGAGACTACAGAAAGATGGCGGACTAAGGGAGACTACTAAAGGGAGAAAGAGAGGGCGGACTAAGAGAGACTACAGAAAGATGGCGGACTAAGAGAGACTACAGAAAGATGGCGGACTAAGAGAGACTACAGAAAGATGGCGGACTAAGGGAGACTACAGAAAGATGGCGGACTAAGAGGAGACTACAGAAAGATGGCGGACTAAGGGAGACTACAGAAAGATGGCGGACTAAGGGAGACTACAGAAAGATGGCGGACTAAGAGGGACTACAGAAAGATGGCGGACTAAGAGGGACTACAGAAAGATGGCGGGAGGGACTACAGAAAGATGGCGGACTAAAGGAGACTACAGAAAGATGGCGGACTAAAGGAGACTACAGAAAGATGGCGGACTAAGAGGGACTACAGAAAGATGGCGGACTAAGGGAGACTACAGAAAGATGGCGGACTAAAGGAGACTACAGAAAGATGGCGGACTAAGGGAGACTACAGAAAGATGGCGGACTAAGAGGAGACTACAGAAAGATGGCGGACTAAAGAGACTACAGAAAGATGGCGGACTAAGGAGACTACAGAAAAGATGGCGGACTAAGGGAGACTACAGAAAGATGGCGGACTAAAGGAGACTACAGAAAGATGGCGGACTAAGAGGGACTACAGAAAGATGGCGGACTAAGAGGGACTACAGAAAGATGGCGGACTAAGAGGGAGAGAGGGACTACAGAAAGATGGCGGACTAAAGGAGACTACAGAAAGATGGCGGACTAAGGGGAGACTACAGAAAGATGGCGGACTAAGGGAGACTACAGAAAGATGGCGGACTAAAGGAGACTACAGAAAGATGGCGGACTAAGAGGGACTAAGAAAGATGGCGGACTACAGAAAGATGGCGGACTAAGAGGGACTACAGAAAGATGGCGGACTAAAGGAGACTACAGAAAGATGGCGGACTAAAGGAGACTA